GATTAATTTTCGAATCAAAATATGATATATGTAACTTAATTTTTATCTCCTATATTATTGCTAATTACTAAGTTCTATCGTATTACAAAGATAGGATGGGTTTTCAATATATAATAAGTATGAAAATTACATATATATACATATTATATCAAACGATTTTAAAAGTGAACTTTCTTGATTAGGAATAAAAAGACAATAGAACTAAGTACTTTATGTTACTGATCTGCTACATTGACAATGTAAAATATAATTAGCATATATACATATAACATCAGTAAAAGTTTGTAAGGTAATATAGGTATATTATAGATAGCGTCGCTACTGAGAATTCCATATGATTTTTACAAGGTTGCAACTTATAAACAATAAGTCCCGAAAGTAATGAATGAATCCTGTGAAAATCTGACGTTCAATTCAGAAGTTACAGTGGTTTCAATGACACAACGTTAATTGTTCTTCGATGATTTATGGAGTTTTAATTTGATCGTTTAAGTACCGGTATTACTGCTTCGGATAATAAAATTCGACAACTATTTTTAGTATAATAAAAAAACCCATAAAAACAGTTTGAATTAGCGTGAAGTTTGAATATCTGATTTCTTAAGGATCATATCAGATATTGTTTTTCAAGATGTGGCTTAAAAGTTAAAGAATTCCTGAGAAACTATTGAGCTAAGACGAATAGACGTCGTTTTTAAGTAAGTGTTCATTTTCTACGAGTGGCATTAGGGATTATACGAACGCAGAGAGTATCGAAAATTCTTTGTACTTAGACGATTCTCTGTGCATTGAGCTAAGAAAAAGAAGTTGCATCATGTAGGAATTGGCTCACGAAAACACAGTGTTTTTTGGAGGCATTAATGATGAAATCAAATATATCAAATGTCAACCAAGATTTAATTTAAATCTTGAGGTTGAAGATGAAATGTTTTTTAAGGTTAATCTTACATATCGAAAGATTTATAAGATCCTTATTATGGTATACTGAAAGTAATCATAAAATTTGAATAATAATTTTGAATACAAAGAAAAAATGGTTTCTAAGTTAATCTTACATCTTCGTCTTACTAAAACTTTGCTTATATCCAAGTATTTTCGATATCCGTCAGCATTAAATTGGTAATACAGAATCAGTTAAGAGTACTCCTTACAGCGCTAGATTCTACTTCTGAACTCCATCTTCCTTAAGGAATTCTCTGAATCTCTGCATGGGCATCTTATTCTGCATAAATAACCGTAAGATTCATTTTGCGTTACATCGGTGGCGGCAATAGTGAAATAAAACGAATAATACAAAACAGCTAAATAAACTGCAGAATGTGCAGAAAAAATGTAATGTACTTGGATAGAATGTACCTTTAAATAAAACTTAATTACCCAGTGATCATCCATGTCGCAACACATATGATCATGAAAAGCCTACACGGAGAAAATGGTTTTACACTTATTAACTCATGCCTCAAGGTTTTTTAGAAAAAAGTATTTTATCAATATGAAACTGCTGATTGCAATAACAAGGAAAATATGTCACTTACGATAATATATACCAGGTCCAAAAGCTTCGGGCAAAAACGGAGTTCTGTATCGAACTTAAAGCGCAATAGCAAGGCAGTTACGGAACTGCACTCAAACCCTTTGTCCAGATAGAAATTTCTCGATTTGGATAGTCTAGAAGAGGATAAAACTTCAGAGTTCTGTAAATGCATCTGAAAATATCTACCGTCAATAGCACAAAACGTTCTTATTTCTGCTGTAGACTGTTTACCGGTTTCCAACAAGCGTGAAGCCGGTAGAACAAGAGTACTCGAAGAGAACGTGCATAAAAGAAGAACCACTGTCGTGCTAGTTACTTTTATAATCAAAGAATGATGTGGCCATTAGAAGCGGACAATATTCAAGAAAAGAGCATTTGTTTTAAAAAGTGGCCGAACACGTAACAATATCAACGGAAAAGATTGCACACACCAATAAGTTACATGTATTGGAATATTTAGTTACTGCTTTATTTTAAGCAAAAAAATTTCCAGACTTTGCAAATAAATGTACTATAATTGGAAGATTTAGCTTAAAAGTCGTAAAATGCAGTACGCCAACAACTGACTAAAGAAGATATAGAGTGCTAAAATAACAGCTAGACGCTGTTATCCTTCCCAAGGAATAAAAAACATAGTAACTATACTAGTAATCAGAAAGATAATCCAGTGAATTTTGGACAGTAAGATAATCTTACTGTTCACTCCGTATGCTAGATATTGTAGGTAACTACAATAAAACTAAGATTAGCAGTGGCTATTTAAAGAAGAAGAGGCCTCAGTACTAGGCAACATGTCCTTCGTGAAGGGAACTCTAAGGAAATCTTGGAAGAAAGTGCAATAACACAGATAGGATTCCACTATGCAATGTGATGTTATAGAAAATAAGTACGGCATAGACAGCCGAAAAAACAGCCTTTCTTAGGTCAAAGCTGTTTATTACTTCTTATATACGGGTATATTTATTATTACACTTTTTCCTTTAACGTAATTTCCAAAGTTTTTAATTTTTTGACTTTTTTATAAGAATGGAATGTCATAACTAATCTTATAATCATTTAATTTGGACTATTTATAGTAAAACACTCGCAACTTAAAAATAATAGTGTCTTTTTCTAACTAGGTTTCAGTATCTTATTGTTGATTCGTCTGCTTATGAAGTTTTTTATGTTTAGGCTTTTTAATGTTGGTTGTTTATTTGAATCCTTTCTCTACATATTACTGTTATGTTGTCTAACATGATTCTGCTGCGTGTTTTGATTTAACCATTGTTAGGCTAACGGTATATTGTTTTTATATATCATATCCTGTTGATGTAAGCAAAGTCTTCTAAATTTCATTTAGTAGTCTCTAAGTTGGAAATATAAGATAAGCTAGAAAATTTATTTGGATTTATCGTTATCGTCTATTTTTAAAAGTTACTTCTGACAAAGGCAATAAAACGGAGATATAAGATAGAATAATAAAGTTAGAGATCTGACTCCGCTAACAATTGAAACAGAGTCTGTGATCAAAAGAATTATGGTTTATTCTCATTATTGTTATATTTTTGTTATTATATATTTTTTATTTCTATTTCTGTTATTAATACTTATATTATTATTATTATCATTATTCGAATATCTCACAGTCAATTGACTGCCATTCATGCTTTTTAAGTCTTAGACCATATACCCCATGTAGTCCATGTTTTATACACTTATCCAAGCTCAAATCCAAATTTATTAATACTGTTTTCTGCATTTCTGTGACCACATATCTTTTGAGATTGAGATCAACTTTTATTATCATTATTATTATTGTTATTTTTATTTTTTTATTATTAGTATTATTTTTATTATTATTTTATCATTATTATTATAGTTATTGTTATTATTATTTTTATTATTATACTTATTTTAGTTTTTTATTATTATACTTATTTCAATGTTTCATTATTATTTTTATTATCATTATTATTTTTATAAATTTTTTTTTTTTATTTTTGTTATTAATTTTATTTTTATTATGTTTTTTGTATAGTTTTTAATCGTGATCCTAATGATGACTATAGAATATAATAAAAAATATTAAACGTTGAATTATTTAATAAAAGGGGACCCATAGCCGGATTAAAAAATATATGAAAACCATTATAAAAAAACATGTCGATAAATAAATTCAAATGTTTTTTATTTTTATTGTTATTATTTTTATTTTTATTATTATTAATAATAACATTTTATTTGTGTATTTTTATTATAGTTTTTTATTTTATGAAGTGAGTTTTAATTGTTAGATTTTATTATATATTTTTTTTATTAATTTTTACTATTATTCATTTTGTTATTATTTGTTTTTAATGTAATTATTAGTTTTATTATAATTTTTTATCTTATGAGTGAGTTTTTATTTTATTTTATTTTTATTTTGACTATTATAATTTTTGTTATTAATTTTTTTTAAATAAAATTATTAGTTTTATTATTATTTTTTATTTAATAAGTTAGTTTTTATTATTAGTTTTTACTTTATTTTATTTTTACTATTATTATTTTTGTTATTAATTTTTTATTATTTTTATTATCATTATTATTTTCATTAATATTATACATTATAATAATAATATATTTATAATATTGTTATTTACAATAGTAACGCTGTATGGCTGTCGATTCATCAGTCAGCTGTACAGCCAATAGGTCAACAGCGCACAGTCAACGTATTTTGCCTGGGCTCAGGCACGTCTGTGCAGACCTGCTTTAGAGTAGTCGCTATTTAACATACAGCTATAAAACACCGTCGCGTTATTATACCACTTCGCAGCCACGGTTCAGCACGCTATACGTGCAGCAAAATAACGTCATTTATCACAGCCTGCGGCTCTTTTCAAGGGAGAGTATGTGGCGGCCTACTTGCGTCGTATAAACGGACATCAACAAAGTAATTTGTAATTTAAATATACATAAAATTTTAGCGCTGGAAAATTCTGATGTGTAATGTTAGAATATTTCCTATGCATAATAAGTTACATTTTGGCTTTGTTTAAAATTAAAATATAATAATTAATTTACAAAACAACGCTGTGTTAAAGTTTATTATAAATTTTAAAACACGCATAAAAGTTTTACTAATGGTAAGATTTATGTATGTGATTTCGTGGTTGATTGTTGATATCACCTCGTAAATTCCAAATTTATGATGAATGAATGATTTTATACAATTTTTTGAATAAGTTGTTTTTATATTAGGAATAGGAAATTTATATTAGGAATGGGAAATAAACCAATATAAAGTAATATTATATCTAGATCTGTTTATGGTTTGAAAATGTATAATCCACTAAAGTAATATTATATCTAGATTTGTTTATTGTTTGAAAATGTGTAATCTATATAAAATAGATATAAATTTTAGAATGTTAATCCTAAATACAATTTTATTTTATTTACTATGAAATATAAAAGAGCTAAGAAATCTTGGACTTACCTTGTGTAGCAGCACCGATGCTTTTCTTTTTGAAGCCATTTTTGTAGTGCCACCACCTCCCGTTGACGACGCTGTACGTGTCGATTGTTTTTGGGGTTTTCTCGGATTTTTCGGAATTTTGAATATTTTTCGTTATTCCGGGGAAATACACAAAAGGTTTTCACACAAACTATAAAAAACAGTTCAGTTTCAATATAAGAAATTGTGCTACTGTTGGCTAAATTTATTTATTCTTTTTTTTGCAACTATTTCTGGTTGAACAGTTAGTTCACAAGTTTTTTAATATTTTTTATATATAAATATATATATTTCTTTTTTAATTTGAATTTATCGAAATCACTGTTTGAAGTGAAGTACCAAATGATTTGATATTTATTTATGTAGATAACTTTAGCTGTATAGTTACTTCAAATCTTTATAGTATACACTGCACTTGCTAGTTAATTTGTCGTATTAGCCCAACTGTGTGTTTTAAGAACTTGTTGAATTTGGCGGCAATCACTGTTATTGTTGTGGTTCTACGCTTCAGTTTTGTGACACTTATGCTCTGTTGTCAATTATAAAATTTATTGATAGACGGTGATGCCGGTTTTATTAATTTTTAATATGTAAGCTAATCTATGAATTTGTTCCGTTATTTTACTTTTATATAACAAAATTGCTAAACGTAACTGCTTGCGTTCTCCTTAATATATTGGAAACCTAACGCCACGAAGTACAATTGCTAACTGACCAAAACACAAATATGCAATTGGATATGAATTTTCCTTAACCACTCGTTGGCAGAGTTGACGATATCAACAAAATAATGCGAAGCAAGTACATAATAAAAAACAAAACGTTAGCAGAGAATAATCATATTCTCTGCGCCTGTGCTGTGAGTGGGCGAGCAGCATGTGTGGAAAACGAAACTGTAAGTGCAGGAACAACGAACAGCGAACAACTCGATGATTGAAGGATGAGAAAAAAGCATTAAACTGTAACTTAGGCACGTGAAAGTTAACGGAGAGCGCCAGAAAAGCAGGTGAGCATTAATGGCAGTAAGGCAACAATGAATGGTACCACTATAAGTTAAAAGGCACTGTGTAAATAGCTACACAACAACTGAGCCATATAATTTTGTTGCGAGGACTATGTTGATTAAGTCTATAAGGATAAAAACAGAGAAATGATGATAAGCACAAAATGTCAAATTGACAGACAGACAAGTACACATACAATGTTGCAAGTATGACAGACATGCACGAATACAATGTGGCGCTGACGAAACCGGTGGGTGTTAGCCATAAGAAGGCGAAGCGAAGCGTACGTACTTGTTGTTGTTTTTGTTGTTGGTGGTGGTGCTGCTGCTGCTGTTGCTGCTGTTGCTGTTGGCCTTCGGCGCCTGGCAGTAGCTCAGTTCAGTTCAGATGACAAACAGCTGAAGCAGTGGTTTTTAGGCTTTTAATTTTGTTGTTGTTGTTGTAATTGTTGTAGTTGTTGTATGAATTTTTTTTTAGTTTTGTGCTACAAATTAAAATGAGCACAAGCACATTTGTTCACTACGAGTGGTTGTAAGCGTGGCGGGGCAGTAATCGGTTTGTAGTAAACAAGAGCGCGAGGTAAACAAAATTCCGAAAATATGTGAGCCAAGAATCCCGACCACCACATGGTAGAGGTATTGAACATTGATGCAGAGTAGCGAATGCGGTGCTTGCGTATGCGAGCATTTTTATATGTAGTATTTGAACTAGAGGTTGAGATCGTATGAAAACCAAAGATAGTATAGTTGATGTAGCGTACAAAAAAGACAAAATGTGTGGACTGGTTGGTATGAGGGTGTGGACTCTGGAGAGCGAGATAGGGTAGCCGTAACAAAAAAGGAGTTCGTCAAAAAAGACGAGACCATGCTGTGTGCGTATATTGAAAACTGTCGGTCGGTGTTGTGTCGTTGTATATGTATGTATGTATGATTCAAATTAATTTTTTGTTTCAGAAGAGGCCAGTGTCGGCGTTTCGGACATAAAAAATAATGAAAAAACGAGGCTGAAAATGAAAAAATATATGGGTAGGCGGCAGAGCGCCATGCAGTATATTGTTTATTTCGCGTTATACTTATATTTGATTGTGTGTGCCTCTGCGTTTTTTTTTGTTTGTATGTTTTTTTTTGTTCATTTATATTTTTTGGTATAGTATGAGTATGGTTATGTTACGGAGTGAATAGCAAGCAAAGGATTGCGTGTGCGATAAATAGAAAATAAAAAATATAAGCGCACACACATTTACCCACGGGGATGCATCATAAACAAGCAAACCATCACAAATAAATGGGTAGTCGGTAGTTGGTAGTCCTTCTTTGCAACAATTTTGCAAAAATACATTTATATAATTTTTTTTTTTTAGTTTTTCCAACTTCTAATATTTTCACATCTCCCACAACTGTGTGCAGCGGCAACTTAAGCGCGCTGCTGGTGGCAGCATTCGCGTGCTAGTTTCAGCGTTTCAGCATTTCAGCGTTTCGACGTTTCAACGGTAGTAGTGGAACGAACAGTGATAATGATGTTGGTATTATTTATACAAACCTTTTCGAAAGTTGGAGTTAGGGTCAAGAGCGTGTGCCGTTTTGAAAAATTTCTGCAGTTTGAATGAGCATTAATGAAACGAAAACACCCGCATAGAAAACAATTTTCATTTTGAAATACGAACAAATACACGTACATTGATATGCGTTTTTTGTACGTTCAATTTTATTTGTTTGTTTCTGCTTGAACTGTAGCTACTAACTACTCTAACTACTCTACTAACTGCGCTACTAAAAACTGCATGGTTGTTTGAAAAATATTTAAATATATTGGGAGGTGACTGATACGAATTTCGGACAATGCATTTGCTTTATTTTATTAGTGTGTTATGCAATGCTTCTTTAGTTGGCAGAATGCCTGGCCTTTTTGGTGCGAGGGTGCTGATAAATTTTCATCCTGGCGCCCAAAAGGCGCATTACAAATTCGAATTAGCACAGTTATATTTGTCGATGCAATGAAAAAAAAAATAAACTAAAATAAAATAAAATAAAATAATAAATATTCAAATTTTTTTTTATATTTTTACATTTTGCCTTATATAAAACGCACGGGCCAATGACTAAATTAAAGTTATACTCTTATTAATATTTAATAAAAAATCAGATATGGAAATGAATTCAAGTTATATAGAGTTAGCTTTAAATGCTAATTTTTTCTTATACATAATTGCACAATTTTCAATTAAACTCAACCACATTTAAAATAAATTGTATTTACAACATTAATTCATATTGTATATCTTACACACACACACAAATACAATAAATCAACCTTCACAAAAAAAGGATTGTGGGGTGTGTTTTTACAAAATATTTAAAGAAATCGGTTTACTATATGCTATATGCTATTTATAATTACAATTTACGTCAAAAACATAATTTATAAATTTATAAAATTATATTTTGCAAAACTTTCTTAAAAACATAAATAAAATGACGGGTATTTGGCAACACTCGAATTAGCTGTATGGTTTTTGGCTGAATTATATATTAAAAATAAATAACAAAAAATATTAAAATTAATAAAAAATTATAATTAATATAATATGAAAATAAATTTTTGTTGTTTTAGTTCACTATTTTTCGAAAAAACCTTATTATAAAATATATTTGTTTCTACTAAATATAATAGTCACTTCTATCTTAAAAATGACGTTAAATTACAACTTATATTTATAAAATAAAAATATAATATAAAAACATATACATATATAAAATAAATATTATTATAATATTATATAAATTAGCCTACGATAAGACCAAAGTAATTGTATTTTTTGTTGCAGGCTTCACACTACACTTGATGCACTTGAAACATCGTCCATCAAGTTTGTCAAGCTATCATATAAGACATATATATATATATATTCGTCATGACAAAATGAATCAATTTTGCTAATGATCATATGTAATGAACGGTCAAATGACTGTAACAACTTCCTTTAGACTGAAACGGAATGATAGACCCGTCATCCTGCTTTCCTAAAGATCACACTGACTAATTCAAGTTATGCGCCTTGATATCTGGTAAATAAGTCTTGGCTACTTATTCAGACGCTCGTTTAAATAATTTACAAATCATTTAATAACTCATTGTAGTATATTTATATAAAATAATTTGTAATCTAATGTTATTAGTTTTTAAAACTTATTTTAAAACTTATGGTTAGGCTTTAATTTAAAGCGATTCAATAAAAACATATCGTCAAATCTTAAACGACAGCTGTACATGTTTCGACTTCATCAGATGTTTGGTCAGTTTTTTGCAAATAATTAAAATATTGAACATCGTTCAGTAATTTGAAAGGAATGAATAATATGCATTCAAATGGATTCTGTTTATTGTAACTTTGTGCCTTCGTTAACAACAATAAAATATTAGAAAGATGAACTTAAACGTGCGTGAATGAGTGTTTTTGATGAAGAACGTCCGGGCCGTCCAAAAGACGTAACAACTGTAAAAATATTGAAAAAATCCACGATATTGTGTTGGATGATCCAAAAATTAAATTAAATCCAAACATTTTAAAACATTGTTCAAAAATGTTTATGAGCAATCTAGTTGATTTTGAGCGTCAAGTAGTGATAACTGATGAAACATAGATCCATTACTTTACAACTTAGGGAAAATAATACAACAAGCCAGAGAATGGATAGCACCAGGGGGTAGAGTTTCCAAACGACTACGAAAAAGTTTTCACTTCTGTATTTTGGGTTACAAGTGGAATAATATTCATAAACTATTTGGAAAAATGAAAAACAATAACATCAGACTATTATTGTATATTATTGGATTGATTCAATGAGGTAATAAAAAAAAAGACCACATTTATCAAAGAAAAAAATTTTGTTTCTCTAGGATACCACACTATATTAAGGTACGAATTGCTACCTCACCCAACGTATTCTCCAGATTTGGCTCCCAGTGACTACTACATTTGTCACTGGGTTAGTTTGCATCAAATGACGAAATAGAATGGGGAACAGAGGTATATTTTGGAGAACTTGATAAATCGTATTATATAAAAGGTATTCCATATACTTAGGCTGGATATTTATAAATCCACCTAATATTCTGCAGGCAGTCACAGTGCTCAATTTCATACTGTATATTATTTTATTTTATACATTTTGGTAGTATCTTCAAAAATTAATT